ATGTGTACCCTAGAACCTAAAGTACAATAAAAATAATGATAATAAATAAGTAAATAAATAAAAAACAATACCCATCTCTATTTTCTGTTAATATAAAAAGGTTAGAGCACATTGGAGTTAGTTCATATTGCTTAAATAAATTAAGATATTTTCAATAAAAAAATATATCATACAGAGGTTTCACTGCCCTAGAAATCTCTATTCCATCTGTTCAACCCCTGCCTCCAAACCCTGGCAATTACTGATCTTTTTGTGGTCTCCAAGGTTTTGTCTTTTCCAAAGTATCATGTAGTTGAAATCATATAGTATGTAGCCTTTGCAGATTGGCTTTTTTCATTCGGTAATATGCACTTAGGGTTTCTCCATGTCTTTTTACTGCTTGATATTTCATTTCTTTTTATCACTGAATGAGATTCTGTTGTCTGGTTATACCACAGTTGATTTATCCATTTACCTACTGAAGGACATCTTGGTTGCTTTCAGGTTTTGGCAATTGTGAATAAAGCTGTTGTAAAATAAATCCATGTACAGGTCTTTGTGTAGATATAAGTTTCAGCTCCTTTGGGTAAATACCAAGGAGCTGATTGCTGGATTGCATGATAAGAGTATGTCTAGTTTTGTATGAAACTGCCAAACTATCTTCCAAGGTGCCTGTACCATTTTGCAGTCCCACCAGCAGTGAATGAGATTGCCTGTGGCTCTACATCATGACCAGCATTTGGTGTCGTCCAGGTTTTCTCCTGTTATCTTCTAGGAATTTTATAGTTTTGTGTTTTACATTTAGATTTATGATCAATTGAGTTAATTTTTATGAAGTGTATACAGTCTATATCTAAATTCATTTTTATTCATGTGGATGTTGAGATGGTTCAGCACCATTTGTTGAAAAGATCATTTTTGCTCCATTGTTTTGCCTTTGCTCCTTTGTCAAAGATCAGTTTATTATACTTATGTGGGTCTATTTTTGGCCTATTTTGTTGCATTGATCCATTTGTCTATTTGTTGCCAGTATTAAACTGTCTTGATTAGTATATCTTTTTAGTAACCTGAAGTCAGGTAATGTCAGTCCTCCAACTTTGTTCTTAAAAATTATGTTGACTGTTATGGGCCTTTTGACTCTCCTATAAATGTTAGTCCTTTTGTTTATATGCATAAAATGACTTGCTGAGAATTTGAGTGGAATTACATTGAATCCATAGATGAAGTTGAGGAGAACTGATATCTTAAAAATACTGAGTCTTGGCCGGGTACATTGGCTCAAGCCTGTAATGCCAGTACTTTGGGAGGCTGAGGCAGGTGGATCACCTGAGGTCAGAAGATCAAGACCAGCCTGGCCAACATGGTGAAACCCCATCTGTACTAAAAATACAAAATTAGCCAGGCGTGGTGGCACATACCTATAGTCCTAGCTATTCGTGAGGCTGAGACATGAGAATTGCTTGAACCTGGGAGGCAGAGGTGGCGGTGAGCTGAGATCGCACCATTGCACTCCAGCCTGGGCAAAAAAAAAAAAAAAAAAAAGTGAACCTCTGTCTTAAAAAAAAAAAAAAAAGGAAGATCTTGCCATTTATTTAGTTCTTTGATTTTGTTTTATAGAGCTTTATAATGTTTCTTATATAGAGCTTGTACATATTTTGTTAAATTTATACCTAAATATTTTATTTTATATTTCAAATTCCACTTGTTCATTGCTGGGATTTAGGAAAGTGATAGACTTTTGTATATTAAACTTATATCTCGCAATCTTGCTAAAATCATTTACCTGTTTTTCAAAGAAACACTATAGACTTAAAAGCCTCTTACCACGTGTGTTCATCCATAAACAATATGAAGTATTGTTTTGTATATTTAAAAATATATCCTTAAATTTTATCTTTTTCATATATTTTATTTGAAACTTGCTTTTATTACCATCATTAGGTTTTCAAGATTCATTTATGTTTGTATAAATGTTTCTTGTTCATTTTAACTGCTGGATGGTGTTCCATTGTGTTTAGACTCCACCTATTTTGTATTCCAGTGGAATTTATCCATTCCTGAACTGAAAGATATTTGTGTTGTATGTAGGTTTTCTTGATATTATGACCAAAGCTGCAGTGAACTTTCTGTGCATTCCCCTTGCCACTTTGTGAGAATGTGTCTAAATTATAATGTTCATTTTCCTGATTACTATATAGAATTTGAGATCCTCTATAATATCTGTTTGGTATTTGGGTTTCCTTTTCTGAATGGTTATATTCTTTGCCTCTTTTCCTATTAGAGTTTTAAGAATTGTTTGTAGAAATTCTCTGCATCTTCTAGATATAAAACTATTACTAGTTATATGCACTGAAAGAATTCTTATAAATTCAGGCAGTCCAGTCCTGGGTCTTCAGTTTATTCCAGGGGCCAATTTGCTAGAGTTAAATCAGCTTCTGTTTTTACTCCTGGGCTCCCTTTATTCTTACTTAACATTTTTGAGTTAAGCTTCTAAGGCAGACAATCCCCTCAACTGTCCATCAAAATAATTTGCTTTGTCAGTTATGGTTCATTTTTTGTTCAATAAGGCAAGTATAGAATAGTGGGCTATAGAGTCTTTACTGCTTGCTTTTGAATCTTAGCTCACGACTTATTGTGTGATGTTGGCAAATTACTCTTTTGCACTTGGCTTTATCTATAAAACCAATGAGGGTAGAAGAACTATTATGATGACCATTTCATATTTGATGAAACTGAGTCAAAGGGAGATTAGGTCAGAAACATGAGCAAGTAGAAGAAACATGTGCTCCTCTCTTTTAACTTTTCGCCTTTGCTGGAGACATGAATATAGAGAAATACTTATCTAATTAAAAAAAATATAGTAGCAGAAGCAGTGATAAGTCCCTGACCCACGGCCTCAGTGCTGGGGGAAAACCGTAGGAGTGGAGACTATAGAGAACTAAAGTGCCCATGCCTCAGTCTGTTTGTGGTGTGGAAAGCCATTTGTGTCATTTTTCATTAAAATAAAGCAACGAAAACCCAAACCATGATTTTCATGACCTTAGCTTGATGTTCTACAGAGTGGTAAATCTGTAATAAATACAGAATTTAGATACTATCCCAGGCCAGAGAACTCACAGTTGAAATAGGCCAATCATAAAGAGAACACTGAGGGCCACACTTCAGAGATCAGTCTGGTGGACAACTTGATTTGGACTGACAATGGAAGGAAGAAGAAACTCAAAAAACAAACAATTCAAGTAGCAGAGACATTTTCCAGGAGCAGGCAAATAAGTATGATTTGGCTTCTGTATCTTTTATTTTTTATTATAAAAGGAAATCTGCTATGGCAAAAAGTCAAGCAGTACAGGAAAGTATAAAGTAAAAATTGAAACATAAAAGTGTTCCAGTCGTATATACCCAAATTGAAAGGAGAGACTCAAAAAGTTATTTGTACACTCGTGTTCATAGCAACATTATTCACAATAGGTAAAATATGGAAATAACCTAAATATTCATTCATGGATTAGTGGATAAACAAAATATGCATACAAAAAATATATATGATGGAATACTATTCAGCCTTAGTAAGCAAGGAAATTCTGATACATGCTATGACGTGGATGCACCTTGAAGACATTATGCTAAGGGAGTGAGCCAGACCTACAAGGGAAAATATTGTATGATTCTACTTATACGAGGTTCTTATAGCAGACAAATCCGCAGACGCAGAAAGTAGAATCGTGATTACTAGGCACCAGGAGGAGTTATTGTTTATTGGGTACAGAGTTTCAGTTCGGGATGATGAAAAAGTTCTGAAGGTGAATAATGGCAATGGCTGTACAACACAAAAGTACTTAACGCCTCTGAATTGTACACTTAAAAGCGGGTAAAATGGTAAGTTACATGCATATTTTACCACAATAAAAAAGTGTTCAACACCAGCCTACCAGTTATAGTTGGCACTATAAACAACTTCTTCTATAGCCATCAGGATAGGGCTATGCAAATACAAGCATAGATATGTAAGCATAAGCATACTCTCAATGCTCATCCTTTGGAGCACTCATTTAGGTGCTGGGTATTTCCCAGTGAACAAAACTGGCAAAGTTTCTGCCATCATGGAGCTTTCAAAAATGTTGTTTTATGCAAATAGATAATGATATGCATACTGTTTTATACCTCATTTTCCCCCTTAATGAATATCTTTGGACATCTTTCCACATTAGCTCTTACATAGATCTGACAACTTAATGGCTTCATAGTATGCCCTTGTATGGATGTGCTATCATTTGTGGCTACATTTTTCATTGAATGGAGGAGGGGAGACGGAGGTACAGAGCTTGCTATGGTTTGCTGCTGTTGTAAATAAAATTTTTATTAGGAAAATAGTATGGCCTTGTTACACAAAGTCAATGCAAAAAAATTATAAGTAAAAAGTGAAAGTGGGGAAAAAAAACCCAGACCTCAAGTTACACAGAGGTAAGAGCTGGGTTGAGCTGTATTCTGTATTGTCTAGATCCTATTACTATAAAAGTCAGGTGATTTCTTAGTTATCATTTGTATTGTGTCCCATAGTCAATGAGATCACATCAAGGAGATTGCTTTAAAAACCATTATGCTAGAACTATTACTTTGGAGTTCTTTGGTTGCAAGCAATGGCAGTCATCTCAGGTTCTGTTAAACAAACAAAAAGGGGCTTCCATGAAAGAATTCTAGGTAGCAAATGAAGAAATATTTAAACGGCTGGGCTCTGGAAAGACAGAAACAGGGTGGCTTTAGGAGTCTCAATGTCAGTGCTTATCCCTTTCATTTTCTATGTCTGCTTAAGATTTAATTCCTGGGAGAAGATGAATGGCCTAGAGAACATATGACTATTGATGGCGAAGCAGGGAGAGTCCTGGGTTTTTGTTCTCCATGTGAATTTTATGGAGTTGGCGGGGGTGTAGTTTCAGAAAGGATGGGATTTGAGGCTGGCAAAACCAACTGTCAGCCTTGCAATGTCAGCTGTTTTAACCATAGATTCTTACTCTCTTCTTAAGGAGGAGACGACCGCCGGGTTCTGCTGTGGCACATGGAGCAAGCCATCCACTCCAGGGTCAAGCCCATACAGTTGAAAGGAGAGCACCATTCCAACATTTTTTGTCTGGCTTTCAACAGTGGGAACACTAAAGTGTTCTCTGGAGGTAAAAAGGGAGATTCTACCTTGGGATCTTCCCTGTGGTTGGGATTTTAGAGAAAAGAGTGTGAAAATAACTCCTATTTTTCACTGAGCTGTGGAATTGCTGGTTTCTCATAGCTTGTTTTTTTCTGCTTGTCTTTTCAACACAGCAGTATTACATATTAGGATAGTATGTGTCTTTTTTCTCTTCTCTTTTTTTTCTTTTCTTCACCTGTCTTTTTCTTTCTCTTTGGCAGAAAACTTTTCACATTGCGGTCTGGTACACAGAAACACACACACACACACACACACACACACACACACACACACACAAACAACACTTAACCTTCCTATATGTGACACACTCTGATTTTGTTTTTTATTCTATTAAATTTCATTTTTAAAGATTATGCTGGCCATAACTCAAATGGATGTCATGACCTATGGATGGCTCCTGTTTGAAGTGTTATGTTAGGGTACAATTGGAATGGCTGGTGCTCACACCAACCTCTTGGTGATGGCTTCCGTCAACCATACTCCTTCTGACCACCACATTTCTAGTTCTGACCTCTTTTCTGAGCTGCAGATTTTCCCACTGGATCTCTACCTGTGTTCCAAAAGCAACTTAAATACAGTAGATCCATCCAAAACCAAGATCATTAGTCCTTTCTTGAGTGAAAATTTTCCTCTTGTCTGCTGGATTTCCTTTCTCAGTTATTACCATTCACCCAATTAGATAAGCTATTAGGTTTAACGTTAAGAAATTGCTGATGGTTAACCATTTTCAACTTACAAAAGTGGCAGTTTCACATGGTTCATTCTACCCGTGATCTTGGAGTCATCCTCAAACCTGCCTTTCTTACATTTACCTAGTCAGTCACCAGGTCCTGTCAGGTCTATCTCGAAAGCCTCTCAGATTCATCCTTTAGTTTGGCCTGGAGTTTTGCAATGGCCTTCTGTGATTTCTGTTACCACTGTCTAAAAGTTCTTTGAATTAGTTGAATACACAAGTTTAATTTTAAAAATAAAGACTGGACCATGTGAACCGTTGACCCTACAGTGCCTGAAGAATAAAGTGTGAACCCCAATCTGTCTGTCTGGCCTTACCTCCTTTCCCTGAGTTATACGCTCTAGCCCACCAAACTATTTGCTGTTTTAAGAATGTACTGCATCGTACTGTTTTGCTCTTATGCCTTTTGTTCTTGCTGTTCTTCCACCTTAATTGTCCAGTCCTCACCAATTCCCTTAAGCCTTTCATTGGTAAGAGTTTTGAGTTATTTGAGTTTCTCTTCAAATGTCTCCTTCTCCATGTACTTTCGCCCTGCTTATGAAGGAAATAATTGAACCCATAGCTAGATCGTATTGCTACAAGGGAAACCCTCTTGTTGCTATTAGTTGTTTGTGCAATTGGACTGTGAGTTCTCAAGGACGGAGTAGAATCTTACTCTTTTTGTATACCCAGGACCTATCACTGTGCCTGATACCTGGAAGGCATTAGTATGGGTTTACTGATTTAATTGGTTTGCACCCACAGTTTATAGCCAGGCCTTTGTTTAAGATGGCCTGAGCCATATCTTTACTGCTACTTTTGCGTTCTATTTAAGGGACTGTTGGTTGTGCATTTTAGCATAGAGCGGGACATTTTTTATATTTTGTCTTTTCATATTCAGGTTTTAATTTTTTTGCTCTATAAACCATTTGAAGGCAGGACTACACATATCATGAATCATTTATGTCCTTTGACTGAATAAGGAGAAATACCAGACTAAAACTTCCCCATCATTTAGAATCACCATCATCAAATTTTAATGCTATAAAAGATGATGAGGCTGGGCAGGGTGGCTCACACTTGTAATAATCCCAGCATTTTGAGAGGTCAAGGCAGGAGGATCGCTTGAGCCCAGGAGATTGAGACCAGCCTGAGCAACATAGTTAGAACCCCATAGTTAGACCCAACATGATAGATCTCTACAAAAATCATTTTTTAAAATTAGCCATAATGATACATGCATGTAGTTTCAGCTATTAAGGAGGCTAATGTGGGAAGGTTGCTTGAGCCAAGGAAGTCGAGGCTGCATGAACCGTGATTGCACCACTGCACTCCAGCCTTGGCAGCAGAGCAAAATCTTGTCTTAAAGAAATAAAAATTTTTAAAAGACCATGAGGATAGAAATATTAGCAAACATTTAATTTGGGCTTATTAAGTGCTCAGCCCTATTCCTGAATGCTTTTACAGATGTACTCTTATGCTCACAATTACCCTATGAAATTATCATCCCTATTCTGTAGGTAAAAAGTTGAGTCATAGAAATGTTAAAGATTTTATTGCACTTCTCATAATTAATGAGTATTTTGCTGAAAAAGTAAAAGAAAAGGTAGTGAATTGATTTTCTCATGATCATTTACTGTTTTCCTTGATGGCCACAGTGTTGTTTTGTGTTGTTTCCCCCCTTTTTCTTTCTTTCCTTTTTTTTTTTTGAGACAGTCTCTCTCTGTTGCCCAGGCTGGAATGCAATCATAGCTCACTGCAGCCTTGAACTCCTGGCCTTAAGTGATTCTTTCACCTCAGCCTCCCAAGTAGCTGGGACTTCGAGGGTGTACCAGCACCTGGCTAATTTTTTAATTTTAATTTTTGTAGAGATGAGATCTAACTACGTTGCCCAGGCTGTAGCCACAGAGTTTTTTTTGTTTTGTTTTGTTTTGTTTTTTACATCATCCACTGTATAATACAGTTGGGAACTGTTCCTATGTTATACTTAGTTGGTATTATTTTTAAAAAAATTCTCTGTAAGAATGTACTATTCTTAAATTACTTCTATAAATTTTTTTTCTAGTTAACACTTCTGATTTGTATTAGCATTGGCTTTATTCATATTTTTCATTTTTTTCTGGAAAAATATGAATAAACTTAATAATATTAACTTGTAATGTGGACAGGGACCACCTTGCAGGAATGATCAAATGTCTGCTTTTTTCTTTTGCAGGAAATGATGAGCAAGTTATCCTCCATGATGTTGAAAGGTAAATAGATTGGTGGTGTGTAAAGGTGACTGACTTTGTTTTTCATGTGAAGAGGCAAATATCTCTTTAGAAGAAAATAGTTTTTGTTTTTTGAAGATGGCCTGAGCCATCTCTTTACTGCTACTTTTGCGTTCTAGTTAAGGGACTGTTGGTTGTGCATTTTAGCATAGAGTGGGACTTTTTTTATGTTTTGTCTTTTCATATTCAGGTTTTAATTTTTTTGCTCTATAACCCATTTGAAGGCAGGACTACACATATCATGAATCATTTATATCCTTTGACTGAATAAGGAAAAATACAAGATTAAAAATTCCCCATCATTTAGAATCACCATCATCAAATTTTAACAGCATTGAAACCAGCTATTCTTTTCTAAAAAAGATTCCTACAATAGTTTGAAATAAAGTTTTGATTTAAAAAGGAAAAAGTGATTTGAAAGTTGATATGAAAGTATACTTTTTAGGTGAAAATTTAAAAGAAGAGTTTAGAAGAGAAGGAAGGATAAATTTAAGAACAGTAATAGCTAATATTGATTGAGTTCTTACTAAGTGCCAGGAACCATTCTAAATGCTTTGTACATATTAATTCATATAATCCTCACACTCATTTTCTAAGGAGATACTACTGTGATCTCCATTATAGATGATGAAACGGAGGCACAGACATGTTGATAGGGACGGTCAAGCGGTGCTAAAACCTGAACTTAGACTGGCCTCAGAGCCATGCTCCTCATCCCATGCCAGACTGCTAGGAGACCCCTCTTTCACCCTGTTGGCAGCCGACTTGGCTGCTTTAAAGCTTTTCCTTACTTTTCGAAAATCAAGTACAACCCCCAAATCTGTACACAAGCAGATGCATTCTGTCATAAATGCAAACACAAAACTCAGCTATTGAGTCACTTTTAAATATGCTTAATTAGCACAAAAATTATAAAATCTCTAAAAAGGCTCCTTAATAGTACCTTTTTTTATACCTGAAAGTTGACTACTGACCTTTTAGGAAATATGATATTTTTGGGGGCTCAGCTAGATTGACTTTCTAGAAATGAAAAGATGGCGTCCTCGGTACCGAAGGGCTGGGACTGTGCACTATGTTTGTGTGTATGTGTGTGCCTCTGTCTTGCTCTCTATCTCCCAGCAGTGAGACACTGGACGTGTTTGCTCATGAAGATGCAGTATATGGCTTGTCTGTGAGCCCAGTGAATGACAACATTTTTGCCAGTTCCTCAGATGATGGCCGGGTTCTCATTTGGGACATCCGGGAATCTCCCCATGGAGGTAGGGTCACTGCACAAAAGGCTGTTGGACTGTATTGAACAGATTGATGTCAGATTCATTACAGATTCAATTTATGACCTAAGTATCTATGTGCAAGTGATTTCAAGGGAAAGGAAATGTGAAACTCTCACATGGAGGCATAAGAGGTCTTTGGAGGTCTTATCCTGCACCTAAGTACTCAGGAGTGAGGCACCTTCACCAGTCCTTCTCCACCGTCCTGTGACTCTACACAAACCCTTGTACCTTGGTATTTAGTGCCCCAAGGAGCAGAAGTTGTGGTGCTAACATGTAATTCTTGATTGTTTACAGAAAATGGGGGTGTTATGCACTTTCCTGCATCCTATTTTCAGGTGTGTTATTTTGTTGTAAGAACCACAGAACCTCAAATTAGCTGTGTGTACATCTTAAAATGATAGCAAATGAACTCTATTTAAAGGGGATTGTCTGTGTGAGTGCCTCCTCTGAATGTGCCTTTGACTCTCTGATGTGTAAAATGAAGAAGTTGTTTTGCTGGCTTTCTCTGAAGTTCTTCAGGAAATGCATATTCCCAGCTGATTTCCTACAGAGGAATTTCTGTAATTGTACCTGTCTTCAAAAGACCCCTTCCTCTAGTACCAGCCTTAGTGCCCCTGCCATACCCACCCTGGCCTTTAGTGCACATTGTAACGATCACACCTGTGTACCTAAATTTACTATCCTGCCTGCTTTGTCTGGCAGGATCTGGGTCTTTTAATTTTTTTTTTATTATACATGAGTTTAATATATGATAAAGATCACAAATTAGTGCAGAAAAGAAGTAGTACACAATAAACAATGCTGTGATAAATGTGCACTGTATCTGTAGCTCATAGATTTCAGATGAATAATAGTTGTAGAAATCAAACTTGATAATGCCTATAGAATATACAAAGCATTATATGTTGAAAATGTGCCATGGAAAAAAGTTACAAAAGGATCTTAAAAGTCTTGGAAGAGTTTTTGAAGTTCTTTATTATTATTATTATACTTTAAGTTCTAGGGTATATGTGCAGAACATGCAGATTTGTTACATAGGTATACACGTACCGTGATGGTTTGCTGCATCCATCCCCCTGTCATCTACATTAGATATTTCTCCTAATGTTATCCCTCTCCAATCCCCCAACCCCCTGCTAACCCTCCCCTAGTCCCCCCACCCCCCAACAGGCTCCGTTGTTTGATGTTCCCCTCCCTGTGTCCATGTGTTTTTGTTGTTCAACACCCACTTATGAGCGAGAACATGCGGTGTTTGGTTTTCTGTTCTTGTGTGAGTTTGCTGAGAATGAGAGTTTCCAGTTTCATCTGTGTCCCTGTAAAGGACATGAACTCATCCTTTTTTGTGGCTACATAGTATTCCATGGTATGTATGTGCCACATTTTCTTTATTCAGTCTATCATTGATGGGCATTTGGGTTGGTTCCAAGTCTTTGCTATTGTAAACAATGCCGCTAAACATTTTAAATTCTGGGTTGTGCTTATTATTGAGGTTCAGGCTATAAAAGAAGCTTGTTTTTAGGGTTAGGCAGGTAAGGTAGCAGGAAGTAGCAGCTATGGTCGAGTCACTGTGGTCTTGGTAGGTGAAATTCTCCTTTGTCTGAACTGCCTGATGGTGGAGATGACTGAGTGCTTTATCTGCTCAGAGGCCTGTGAATTGTTGTGTATGGAAGACAGACTGAGAAGGGCTTTCTTTGTATTACTCTAACATAGGAGTATATCCTGCTAGGTAACTAAGTGGTTTCTTCCTCACTTGGAACCTGCTGATTTTTGTAAAATGATGCAGAGTTTCTAGGTGAAGTCGATTACATACTGGCTAGATATTAGGGAGCATTGTGAACCAGAAGGGAAAAACTACGCTATTGTTTTACCATATCTTGATTTTTTTCATTGTTTTATTTTATCTTCATCAAATCTGTGTGTGGTTTTAAAACTTTTAATTTCTAAAACTGATACCATTGGATTAAAAACATAATAATCCTACCAGTGATGGGTTGTCAGTTTTTTCTGCTTATGTGGCATTCAGTTTTACTTACTGTAAAATGGCTTATTTTCCCATTTTTAGTGACCATTTCTGTTTTGTCTCAGGATCTGATAGCTGCTACATATATATTTCTGGGTGTTACAGCATCAAATTTGTCTAAATGTGTTCACATTGCTATGTATAGGATTCATAGAGACCTTGCAAGTAGGGGTGACTGGTGGGAGTATGTGCTGTTCTGGGGCTCCAGGCCGTTGGAGTGGTTATTAAAGAGTGCTCCTACCTGTATTCACATTCCTGCCTATCTGCCTGCCAGTGACCCAAAGGTACCGATAACGAACTGATTATAAGTTTTCTTTCCACAGAGCCCTTCTGCCTGGCAAACTATCCATCAGCTTTTCACAGTGTCATGTTTAACCCTGTGGAGCCCAGGTTGTTGGCCACAGCCAATTCAAAGGAAGGAGTGGGACTCTGGGACATTCGAAAACCTCAGAGGTGAGTCCCTTTTATTCACACGGTGTTAAAACTTTCCCTTACCTCATTTCTGAGGTAACTGTTGTGAAGACCTCTTTGGCAGTTATCTCTGCTGGGCATTTCTTAAGATGTATAGTGTCTCTAAGCCAGGAGAGCTTGTTTCTAAGGAATAGACAGTGAGAAATCCACACTCCTTGCAGAGGAGGCATCATAAATAGTAATCTGGACTTTAGACAGGGTCAATTCTAGGCAATTATCTGAAGTAGTCAGAGCATCCCTTTAGTATTGCCTTCTCTTTTCAGGCCCAGTGTTCCCCAGATGCATAGGAGCTCTTGGGCTCGAGTGGGTGTAGGGGAGGAAGTGGAGGTGGAGATTTGCCACTTGTTGCTACTGAGCCAGGGGTTCTTAAGCATCAATAGGGAGGGGATCCCTAAGGGGGCTTCAAAAAAAAACTGAACTGCAAAAAATATATGAAAATTATATATTGTGTATTCAAATAAGTGCATTTTCTGTTTATCAAAAGGGCTAGTGACTTTTGTAGTGACAACAACAAAAGGTTAAGAGCCATTGCCTCATGGTGTTCAGGACCTCATGTGTTTCTCCTCATGGCACTATGAAAAGAGCATACCTAAGACAATCCTGAATGATGGTATGAATCACTAATGGGGGAATCTCAGACGTCATTAAAGAATGTGGGAATACGGGTGGGTAGCAGGCTGTTTTACGTTCCTTAAGTCCCATGGGGGAGGGACTACTTTTTATGGTACCTGTACATAAAACTGGCCATGCTTTATTTATTTAAAAACCTCTGTGCATTGCCGGCTAGCTCCTCTGGAAATTCTGCATGGAGGTAGTTTCCCATTTCATAAAGCAATGTTGCAAAAGAATATCATGCAAACTAAGTGATGTTATAATTTATTTCATGGGCCTCAGATGAAAGAAGTAGTTAAGTACAGAAGATTATCTTCCTTGATGATTTTTACTCCTAGCTGATTCTCTCCATGGGGCAGTAAAAGATAGTTGGAACTATTATAGCAGATCTGTGTAGCCTAGAGGGGTGTCCCTGGCATTGAGCAGGGTTCCCTCAGTTTCCTCAGGGCAGCAGGGATTTCTCCTGCCCCTCTGTTGCATAGGCACCTGGCTCTTGCTTTTATAGTCTATTGAAATGTGTATAGTAGCAGAACCCCTGATGTGCCTTTACACTGTGTACTTTAGGAGGCTTGCTGTCTGCCGAGAAGACAATTGTGTTCAGCTGCAGTGTTCTTTGCCACTTCAGGCTCTTTAGGAACAACTATTCTGCCTCATCCATACTACAAAAGGCAGGGTTTGGATTAACTGCACCAGCCTTCCCCCAACCTGCTATCTCCCCCACTCCAGTTGCCAGCTATTCATTGTAATAGCTGGCAACTGGAGTGGGGCACTGAGCTGTTCATCTCCAGTGGAAAGCTTGAGTAATTCATGGTGTCTGCAGGGTCTTGAGAGAAGATGGGAGTATGGATATTTTATTTCTCCCAGTTCTCTCCCAGTCTCTTCTACTGGTTTCTTACTGTGTGCTATATGAGCCCTCCTCTCCTTTCCACTTGTCTTCTCACTAATAAATATAGTTTCTTTCTTTTAAAAATAATTCCAAGTGATGATTATTTTATTTTTACAGTAATATTTATTGGTTTTGGGGTTTTCATGCAGAAAAATGTAATGGAAACAAAAAAGAAAAAAATTACATCTCTGTTACTTGTATGTCTTTTACAATGTGTGTCCATCAGTACAGTTCTTCTCCTTTCCAGTGTCTGTAGTCACTCCAGAGGTAACTACAGCGAACAGTGTCTTATCTCTCCAGACCTTAATGTAATGTGCATATTACTGTGTATATGCATCCTTTAAAAAAACTGAGACAGAAGGAAGCATATAGTAATACTATTTTTTTTAATTAGTAATATGTTTTGGAGCTTTTTTTCATACCAACATTTGCAGACCTAGCCCCTTCTTTTAATGACTATACAGCATTCAATTTGTATGTCTTCAACAACGAGGACTTCTTGTCTCCAGTTTCTGGTCATTATAAACAATGTTGCATTGAAACTGATTGTACATCTATCTTGGCCTACTTTTGCAAAAATATCTGTACGGGATTGCTGCATCAAAGGGTGTATATTTTTAAATTTTTGATAAAAGCTGTCAAATTGTTTGACTCCCACCACCAAAGGCTGCAGTGACTTACAAATCTACCAACTCTGTATGAGATTGCATGTGTCTCCAAACCTTTACCAACACTTGAACTATTGAAGTATTATGGGGGGAAAATGATACCTTGTTCTGAGTTCTTCAATTGTGGGTAAGGTTTTATAGTTTCTGAGTCCATTAGACTTTCTGTCCGTGAAAGTTAATCCTTTTTTCCTGTCTTACGGCCTAGAACCTGTTCAAACTTCTTACCTTTTATAACCCTGGAAATCTGCATATACTATTTATTTTGCTGCAACACTTTAAAACAGAGGTTGTCAACTAGCTGCCCATAGGCCAGATTCAACTCACAGAGATATTTTGGTCTACCTGATATACTAAAGTTAGAAAAATTACAAAGTAAAATTGCAGTTTCTTCTATCTCTTGAAAAAGTCAAAAGATCTGATATTATTGGACCTTTATTCTCATATGGCAATAGTCAGCCAAAGTCTTTATGATGTGTTAAGGGTCCCACCACTTCTTGATGTCTTAATACAGGTGTATCCCTCATTTACATACTTACCTGGCCCTGTAGACATTGGAGTTGGAAAGTTCTGCTTTAGGGATTTTAGTGGTGGTGAGTGGGCACCAGGGAGGAGACTTGAGTGTAAGTGACTAGATAAGAGAAAATTTCACACGTACAAGCATACATTGCATGTTCTGACAAGGTTTCATTTATTTCATTTAGATGATTTCTGCTGTTTTTTTCCACAACCAACCTCCTTTCTCACTGCCAATATCCCAGTTATATCTTTCTTGGGCTATTGCAGTGTCCTCTGAACAGTTTTCAGAACTGAGATCCTTTAATGTCTAGAGAACTCAGGAAAAGCAAGTTTCCCCTGCTCTCAGTCTGCTGTCCCGCCCTTTTCATTGCCTGTTTTAGCTGTCTGCTTGCTTACCACCTCTCTCCCTTCTAATCTCTTTAGTTTCTGTCAGGAACTGTTATTTCTGTGACAGATAACAATGTCCTCCTTTGACAAGGATAATAAAGAGAGTGTTTTTTTCCCACTGAATAATAAAACTGGGGCAAGCCAAGAATCCGTAAGAAGACTTACCTTATGAGACGGTGCTTTCACATGTTGTGTAAATGATGCATCTGAAGATGGGCAATGAGCACAAGTTCCTACAATCAGGAGAACTGCTCTTAGAGGTCCTCTCTGGCTTTGGGGACCTCAGTTAAATGTCTGTTTTGGCGGGGGGGAGCTGTGCCAATCTTACTTCCATAGAGACCAGATTAAATGAAACTCTTTGCCTCCTGAACAAGCCAATCTCTGCCATACTGCATTTGAGGGTTGCTCATACCAATATGGGAAAATAAAGCCCAGGGGCTTAATGTCAAAGGCTGGAAAAGGCACTCATGCTCTGATGTTTGTTGAAACTTTAACAAATGAGGCTGTCCTGAATTTAGCCTTCTTCTTTTCAGAATGCAAGGCCATCAGGGTAGACAAAGATTTCTTAAACAAAACCTCAGAAGCCCTGGACATCAGAGAAAAAATGAACAAATTGGATTTCATTAAAATTAAGAACTTTTGTTCAGCAGACACCACTTTTTTTTTGAGACAGAGTCTTGGTCTCTTGCCTAGGCTGGAGTGCAGTGGCATGATCATGGCTCACTGCAGCCTTGACCTCCAAGGCTCAAGCAGTCCTCTCACTTCAGCCTCCCAACTACCTGGGACCACAGGCTCATGCTATCATGCCTGGCTAATATTTAATTTTTTTTTGGGTAGAGACAGGGTCTCTTTGTGTTACCCAGGCTGATCTCAAACTGCTGGGCTCAAGCAATCCTCCTGCCTCATCCTACCGAATTCCCAGGATTACAGATGTGAGTCACCACGCCTGGCCAAGACATCATTAAGTAAGTGAAAAGGCTCGGGCACAGTGGCTCATGCATGTAATCCCAGCACTTTGGGAGGCCAAGGTGTGTGGATCACGAGGTCAGGAGTTCAAGACCAGCCTGGCCAACATGGTGAAACCCGTCTCTACTAAAAAAAAAAAAAAAAAAAAAAAATTAATGGGGCATGCTGTGGTGTGCCTGTAATCCCAGCTACTTGGGAGGCTGAAGCAGAGTAGCTTGAACATGGGAGGCAGAGGTTCCAGTGAGCCAAGATTGTATCACTGCACTCCAACCTGAGACATAGCAAGACTCTGTCTCAAAAAAAAAATAAATAAATAAAAAAGTAAGTGAAAAGATGAGTCAAGAACACATCTGGAAAAAAAATGCAGAATACATATATTGAGTAAGAATTACTATCCAGAATTTATCAAAAAGTACAAATCAGTAAGTAAAAAACAAAAAAAATCAATTTAAAAAATGAGCAAAAATGTTGAACAGGTACTTTACCAAAGAAAATAAACAAATACCCAATAAGCATTTGAAAGGTACTGAACTTTATCACTCATGAGAGCAATGCAAGTAAAACCACAATGAGTGTTAGTATTCACCTAGAGTGTTTAAAATTAAAAAGACTTATGGTACCAGGTGTTAACAAAGGTGTGGACCAATTGAAAAATGTGCATACATTTTAGGTGAGTATAAATTGGTACAATCAGTAGGGAAACGTATTTGTCGGTATCTACTAAAGCTAAACACCGTAACTCCATGACCCAGCAATCTCACTCTTAAGTATACCTAAGAGAAATGAATGCATACTTCTACCAGAGACACATACAAGAACATTTACGGATGCTTGCTTGCTTTATTTATTTATTTATTTATTTATTTATTTATTTGAGATGGAGTTTCACTCTTGTTAGCCAGGCTGGAATGCAATGGTGTGATCTCGGCTCACCGCAACCTCCGCCT